GGGGGGGTATACGGAGTCCAAGGCCATGTCAATGGCAGTAGCCTCCGCTGAGAAAATGGTGGCTTCGCGATGGAGTATCATCTGGTGTGTAGCCTTCTGTTTGAAGACAAGGCGGTGGCGCCCACAGTTGAGTCTGATTTAGAGCCATAGGTGAAGATTAGCTCCGCACCGGGGTGTTTAAAAAGTATTTTGCATGCTGCTTTAAATGTTTTGGTGATTGTGATAGCTTTGTTGTGTGAGGTGACCGTATAGATAAGGATAAAATTGGTTCTAACAAAGCGTGATCTCGAGGACTATGTCCACAATCGAGAGCAAATTCACAGGGAAATGGAGGCCAAAATGTAAAATGAAAATATATTTAAAAAACACACACAAAAAACATTTGAAAAAACCCCCAACTCACTATATCATTGCTGTGCGGTAGAAATAACTAATAGAATCTAACATAATGGAGACTTGAATATATGTCAGACAAATGATGTGTATTGAAAGCATAACTAACTGTTGGTTTTATTTCATTTCCACTGTCTTCGGTAATTTGTCTCCAGCTTTCACGCAAGGCGCAAACCAAAGCCCAGAAAGCCTAAATGAATTTCTGTTCGCTGACGACCAATATCTTATTCATCATGACCAACAAAGCCTCCAAAATTACACTGCCGAACTCATCAACACCTGTGAGAAATTCAACATGGAAATAAGCACATCAAAAACAGAAGTTATGAAAGTGAGCCGAAACCATAGTCCCCTGATCATCCACGTCAATAGTAAACAACTGAAACAGGTGATGGGGTTTGAATATCTTGGCAGCACTTTTTCTGAAAACGGGTCAATAGACAGAGAAATAGAAATGCGAACTCAAAAAGCTAACGCAGTCACCTACCAGCTCGCACCCCTCCTATCTCACCCAAACACCCCCATGGACACAAAGAGACAGCTTATCACCTCAATATTCTTGCCAACATTATGTTATCAGTGCCAGACCTGGACTTTAAGCAAAACCCATGAAAGCAAAATCCCCGCATGCGAAATGAAATGTCTCCACAAAACCTTTAACATCACAAGATGAGACATGTAGAGACATGAAGAAGTAAGAGCAGCTATCGACACTGAGTCCTGCCTGTGTTACATGAAAAGACAGAGGATAAAATGGTTTGGCCACCTGTTACGCATGTCACCTGACCAGCCAGCCTCGAGAGCCTACAACACCAAGCACTCGTGCTATAAAGGAAGAGGAAGGCCACGCAAAAGGTGGATCGAGGGTGTCAAGGAAACCCACAGAAAACATAATATCACAACTGAAAGAGCTGCGGAGCTGGCCTACCATAGAAAACTGCATCTCCCCTCGACGCTTAACGGCAACAGATGATGAAAAAGTAAAAGTAAGCAAGTATTCACAGCTGTATAAAAAAATTGAGCACATATATCACTTTCGACTTTTTAAAACAGTTGTTGTTGGGATGTTTCTTTTTTTTTTTCTTCTTCGGGGAACAGGGGCAACAAGTGCTAGGGTGTGAGTGAGTAGGAGACTTGACAATTTCATGGAAGGGAAAGAATTTAATATAAGTACACAACGCAAAAATGATATTTTTTTTTTTCAAATTCCTGATGACAAAAGTTAAATTTGTTGAAAGAGAGTAGGATGCATAGTTATATCTTGCTGTGCATTGCTATTATTGGAAAAGCGCAGTCCTGACTCTGATATACAGTGTATTAATGAAACAGCCAAACCTGCTAACTAGACTAAATGGACTAAAACTACTGTCGATAACGAATCCCGATAGTATTACTGATGATTATTTAATTGAGGCTAATTTACAAATATAAAACTGACGACGTGGGGTGAGCCGGAGAAAACGGATTAGACGGTGACGCCCGACGAGATCTTGTGTTGGTGTGCGTGAGTTCATGTGTGTGTGTGTGTGTGTGTGTGTGTGTGTGTGTGTGTGT